TAGCAGTGTAGGTCATTTTTGTAGTTAATTTTTAGCCGTAAAAAGAATATAAATATTTCTAAGTATATAAGACTACCTTATCTAAAGGTATCTAAAAGCTGTACTGGTCCTACTAAACAAGTTTAAACAAACTTGTTGGATGTCCACAGATTCTATAAAACCTTTAACCAAGCACAGATTCAGTTCAGAAACTTAGCTGTCAGGTTGAAGTTAGGAATACTGTCACTCTAAAATCAAGGGAGAGAGACACTTGCAGAGAACAGTTAATCCCAAATCTGGATTTCCCAAGGGAAATTACACCCTTAATTTAGACATCTCAGGTGCCTCACATAACATGACTTGCATTCAGGTTTCACCACACTTTCACCACACATCTGCAGACAGGAACATAACTCAGTTCCACAATTCCCTTGGCCTAACTTAACTGATACTGCTTAAAGCTGGATTTAAACTCGTGTTTAAATTGCTTTTGGTTTATTAACTCTGTAGTCTTCACACTGCAGAAACACGCCAAATCAAGTGAGTACGTATAGTCCATTGTCCTCCTGTAATTGCAGAAGTGTGCTTGGACATAGACAGCTTCTTCCTCCGTGTACTGGGAACATTCCTCCAGCAGTTTGCCGTGCTGTACCACAGGCAGCCGTGGGATACACTCAGACATCCCACTGATTTATGTAGTAAAGCTCAGTACTAGGGAGGACTCTGAAGAAGGCTTGCCAGCTTCGTTGTTTGGAACTAGGCTAGTCTAATTTGGCATTCAAACCTAGGTCCTAATTGCAAGAAATACTTCTGTGGGGAAGTGTGAAGACAAATGCGTGCCTGAAGCAAGCTCTTATTTTCTGCTATGTATTCTTCTACTTACAGGCATTCTATGGTTAGAGTAGTCTTTTCTTCTTTTTTTTTTACTCCTGTCAGCAGGCTTAGTTTATTCAGTTTCAGCCTTTTTTCTAATTTTATTCTCCAGGAGTTAAATTCTCTGTTGAAATAAATAAATAAATTAAAAGTTCCCTAAAGATCAGTGAAGTATCTGTAGCATATGAACAGTTCCTTAAAGAAATAACCTCTGAGTTCTGGGAAATGGAACAATATTGCAATAGGAGAGACACATTCAATGTTGCTGATGAATGTCTGAGCCAGTCAGTCCTAAAAGAGTTTTTTGGTTTTGGGTTTTTTTTTTTTTAGAATCTGGCCTTGTAGTTTTAATACATGAACCAAAGTTACTTCTTCCCAAATGGGTTTGAAGGCACATCAACCTATAATTATTCATACTGAAAAGATTTGGATTAACACAATTTTATTACACAAAATTTTATATCTTTATGAAAAGTGTCTTCTCCCTCATGCACAAGCAGGACCTAAGTTTGTATTCTTCTCTGAATACAGCCTGATAACCTCTCAGTAATGTAGTTACCTTCAGTAAAATTTGTATTTTTAGCCTAAGGTCATCTTCCTACCATAAGTTTTATGATTAAGTACATTCTTTACTATGTATCTGTGTCAGATACTACTGCTCTAATAATTATAGATTATATCTGCCGACCTAGACATGAACTCTAAATGCATTTGAATAATTTTGCATGTGAAAATATAGCCTCACTAAATAGTTGCAGGATGCCACTTAAGTTGTTAGAGCGTAGTTGGTTCCAGCACTAATAATTGGTTGCAGCACAATTAGTCAATGACTAATTGGCAAGATTAAGTTAAGTACTCAGTTAAAATAACCAACAGGATATACCTGGATTCCACCTGTCAGGAATGGGAAGAAACCAGAGCAGTTCCTAGCTACTCTGAGCTTCATCAAAATGGCACGTTCACGCTAAATCGCTTGGCCTTGCTCCAAAATTAAATTCATCCATCATGTCCAAACCACATTTGACATGCCAAAAATAAACAGTTTAGAGATTGATGCAAATGTTACGCTTCATATGCTACACAGCTACATTTGTATTAAGAACCTTCCATTTATTTAAATGCTGGCCTTTCTAGGAGCTAGTGTTTGATTTTGCATTCCTAGTCAACAGTAAAATTTATTTGAATTGCAATGCATAAAGATACAAATAGTCATGCAAACACAGTCCGATAGATTCTTCCTTTCAACTGTCATTTTCTATTAGTGCACAAATTCCTCAGCTTCCAAAAATACATATATATACAGGGTGACTTAAGATGTTGATTTGCAATATGTATAGGTCAGGAGGCTGTTTTAGAGGGCACGTAACAGCTAAATTTTTTTTTGCCATGTACTTCTGTCTCACTTCTAGCTGCAGCCTTTAGATGCTATTGACTTCAGAGTTCTTTTACATCTGAGATCATGACTAGATAGCTCTAGGCAAACATCAAGCTTACATAAATCTGTAAAGTTACTGACTTTAAAGTATAACATTGGTTATATCTTGAGAATATTTACTGCTAGATGAAAGGCAAATAAAGTATGCGGATGCAGAGATACAGATTAAATACACACTTAATTTGACTTCCCAGATTATTGTGCCTATTTATTCAGCAATAAATATGAATAAAATACTTGTCATTTTATTATTTCATTTTTATGTTGCTTGACAGTATTGAAATTGAGCATTAAAATAACATAATGGTAAATAGCTCTGCATGAACTCAGAATCCTAGATGCGTTAATATAATTGTAGCTGCTATGTTGATAAAACTGATGGTCGCATATATCAGTTAGTCTTGCATAGGCAAATTTATAGAAGTTCCTTTCTGAAAATTTGAAACTATTCATAACTGGACCTAAAAGTGGTTTAGTTATCATTGTAGTATTCTGTTTTTAAATAAAGTTTGGGCAAATTAGCTGGATAGAAAGGACACAACAGTAGGAGACACTGGCGAATACAGAGACTTGTAAATTCTTAGACGTATTTGTTACAATTTAAAAGGGAATTTTAACTGACATTTCTTGAACTATCTATGCTTTGTCTTCCTGAAGTTTAAAAAAACAAGCATAGAATATCCAGCCTTTTGATCTAAAATAAAGTTGCCCTTTAAGCCTGAAGGTCTTATACAGCCTAGTCTATTTGTAGGATCTTAAACTTTGCTAATGCCTTTCCTTTGCTCTTCACCTTCCTTTGTCTAATTGCATTATATAAATTTTAAATTAACATATTTCACTGCTTTATGGATGTTTTCAGACTGCATGTAGGAGTTTAGCATATTCATACAGAAGTATTGGGCAAACACCGGTAACTCCCAGCACAGCTGCCTAAAACCTGGCTTTCATCTTTTCATTATGTGTAATGACTTTTAAAGCCATATGGGTACTTCAGCCTCAAACAAGCCAGATGATGTGCTTTGACTTGGTTTGGAAAATCACCTTTCAGCTTTTCTCATCCCCCATCAGCTGTTTGACCACATACTTTATTCTTGTACAATACAAAAGCCACCAGAAGGCACGTATTTCCTGCGTTACAGGTAGGATGGATTCCATGTGAAAGAAAGAACAGAAAGAAAACCAATGGTCAATGTTCAGAATTTTTTATTTATTGTGCATTTCTTTGTGTAGTTCATGAAACAACAGAACATGTGGCAAGCTGTTTGTAGTATGGCAGTACGGTTATATACATGCATTTATCTATCCATAGGAAGACAAAATAAAGTATGCCTTTTAATAGATTAAGGACATAACAGATTTTGACACTATTAATCTTAGTGTTTATTCTCTAAGCCTGGACTGGACTGATGTTTTACTGATTTCTACAAATCCAGCACTATTTCAGGTTTGAATAACTTAACTGAATTTACACTTTAGAGAGTAGTATATGCACAGAAATGTATTTTTCTGGAATAGTAATGAATACAAATCATATGATACAGCTGTTGACATGTTTGCAACTGGTAAATATAAGCAATATATCAAGACATTGATTTATTTACTTTGAAATGTATGTATTTTGGATTAAAATGTCATTATTAAAAATATGAAACATATTAGGACCAGATAGCACTAAACGTTACAAATGATACACCTCCACATTATTTTTCTAAGATTGGGATTATCAATGGCATTGGAATTGGAGATAAAGTACGGACATTTTTTTTGTTGCAGTACCATTATATTTATTAGTATTTGGTTATTTTAAGACACGTTATAAAGTGTCAAAGAGCAGAGAAAACGCCTGAGCCAAGACAACTAATACCACAAAAGCAGTAGTAAGTATTCTCTCTGCATCTTTTTGACAGTTATTTTGGCCCCTTTACTGAAAATCCGAGTGCTTCCTAAGTATTCAGAAAAAGAAGTAGCAGTTGGTTTTTTTTTCCTATTTCCCTCTCCTATAGAAGAAATGAAGTGACATCCAGCTTTTCTGTTGGCTTTGCTGCTTAGGAGTGCTTAGCATGTGTGCACATGGATATAAATAATTCCTTTTTGATGTAATTTTTGCCAAAGTTCCCTCATTTGAGTGACATTTTTGCCCCATTTACATCAGTGTTAAAATTTCCATTAACTTCTCCAAGGCTGGGATGCCACCTGTTTTGTGTAAGTTCATTATAGTTCAGTCTAATGCATTTAAAAGCATTTATATTTTAATTGCTTCAGTGGAATGCAGTTGTCGTGACCGGCAAATCTTGCAGAGGGCAGAAAGGATCATCTGGCAAGCAACAATCCCGCATAAGGGCATATACAATGGAATAGAAATACTAAGCTCTACATCAAGTGAGAAACAGCGTGGTAAAGGGCGTTTCAAATTAATGTCCTTTTAAAAAATAGTTTTCAAGTAGAATACTGCTGCTTTTAAAGAGTTTTGTCGAAGTTTACAGCTTCATTCCTGCATATGTGTTGTCATAAGCAACACAAGTTAAAAATGTGGGTCTAACGAGATGGAGACAAATCTGTTAGCACCACACAGACAAGAGTGAATTATGCTACTTGGCTGGTTTGGATATCTAACGGTGCCGAAAAAGAAACAAAGGTTGAAAGTGAATGTCAGCAATAAAGAAAAATTTTCTACAAAAGATAAGTCTGTCCCTTTGCCCCCTGATTCTCTCACCTTTTTCCCCTGCATCTTGCCTCCAACTGCAGTTGTAGTAAAAGCTGTTCAGAGGAGCAGTTCACCCTTGGCGCAGGAGTTGGAACGTGCTCTGAGCGTCTGTGCCGAGTATGGTTTCAAACTTAAATTTCTGTCTTTTCTGCTTCTTGGTGTATTTGCCTTGGCTCCTGCCTGGATCTGGGTCTAATCCTGTCTTCTGTGTGGAAGTAAGTGCTTTAGCTAAACTCTGAGATAGCTGGAAAACGGTGTTACTGCAAAGATAACATGGGATATCATCCGTTTGCTGCGGGTGCTTCAGCTCATCATCAGTTTTTCCAGTACTTCCCAGATACGAAGGAGATGAGACGATGTATAGGCAATGTTTTCTCTGGAGTGCACCAGTAACTGTTTGCAGGTGAACAAGAGTGCAGGTGGTTGGGATTTCTAAGCTGTTTATGATAACAGAGATGTTTTGCCAGTTGTGGCTTTGCTTCTTATGCTGTGGGAGGCAGAGAGATAATCTGTTTTTTTTGGCTGGTGACAGAAGTTTGTAAACAGTAAGGTTTTCCTTGTTCCCAACTTTCATGTCACTAGACATTCAAGACTATTCATTAATGTGAACAGTATTGTCCATAAATACTTATGGTGGCAGTCCCTAATGTCAAGGTCCTCAACTAGTATAAATCGGTGCAATTCCTTTGATTTATGTGCACTGGCATAACGCTGTTTAGTTGAAGGTCTGGGCCAGAGCACAGGAAGCATATGTGTTAGCCAGGGAAGGCTGTAGTAGTTTCTAATTCTTCTACTTACTACTTTCATATGGAGGTAGAGTATTTTGAAGTTGACAGGGTTCAAATAAAGTATTTTTAATTTTCTATTTGGAGTGTCGATATCTCGGTAAGTGGAACAACATCCTTGGTTTAGGGGTTATGTTTCATTATTGCTTCATAGGAAATGGAGACTCAGCTTGGATCTGGACTTTTGAGCAATACTGAAACTTTGAGGGACAGCAATATTTCTTTAAAGGATGAACTGATTGTATGTGCAAGCTGTTATGCGATTAAAATGTTTAGCTAACTCAGAACTTATATTCATGGACATTAATAAGACTGTGTGTATTCATGTAACACAGCTGAATCCAGATCTTTAGGGCATGTAAAATGAAGTAAACCAAAAAGATTTTAACAATTTTGTAGCTTGAAAGAGCAATGAGAAATGCAGTTCTTTTCAAATCAAAAATGATAATGTCTTTCACTAGGAGCAGAGCTTTTACAAAGGGTCTTTCAACTGAGGATCTCGCAACTCTGCTTGAAACACTGAATTAGGGCTCAACACTGAAGCCTTTATCAAATGAACAGTCTGAAGGGGAAGGGAGCGCTCCGATGATGTGTCAGCTGTGGGGCTGGGCTCTGGCGCCTCGCCCCGCGAGGTAAGGCAGCTTTACTGTCTATAATTTACAGAATGAGCAAGCGAGAAGTGTGACTTGCCTAAAGTTACACCACAAGTCTGTGGCAAAGTTGTGGAATAAAACACCCTAGCAGACATGTACGTAAGCTGCAATTTCATCTTTCTCTCGTGATTCTAAGTTGGGAAGAACAACAACTGTTTTGAAATTTAAACCAGGAAGATAATCATGTCTTTCCATGTGATTTGTTGGTTATCCTGGCTAGTTATCTTGGTTGAAATGAGGAAACACTTTTCAAAATCTGTTGGGGGGAGGGGGTAGGGAGCAAAAAGTTAACCCTGTGAATTTTCTGACCCGAAGACCAGTTGGGCTAAATTGATGTTACGCTAATAAATTTTCATCTAATAGTCATCACCTTCCTTTTTTTCCCCTGTCAGGATGGTTCTACTAGAAAAAGATAAATATGTCTTGGATACATATAAATGAGATACGTTTAATTAAAGCCCTACTCTCTCTGTCTTCTGTGTATCTGTTTCTAGTAATTTTACTTTTCTCCGTCCTTCTATCTGGTTTACATCTTCAAAATGCAATATGGAAAACTGCCACAAGCACACTTGGAGAACCTGAGAAAAGTGCAGTTTCGCACATTCAGATGAGAGCCGGTGGCAGTGCTCAATCTCACCATTTCATCACAGACAGATGATAATACAGTGCAAGAACATTCAGGTTTGTAAATGACAGATTTTAAACGGCAAAACAATTGTCAGAAATCTGCTGTGCTTTGCAGCATCAGTGCCATAAATAGGTGCACTCTTCTTGTTTACTTGGGTGGCTGATTTTTTTTTAATTTATGATAAATTATATAAAATTAATGATGTGTGCTTACACTTAAGTGATAAAAGCTAGTTTCTGCTGGTGTGCTAATGTACGTAATTAGTTCTTTACAACTAGAAACCAGATACTCTTTCATTCATGCGTTCATACTCTGGCAGTTTAATTTATGGAACTGTTTTTTTGGGGGGGTGTAGAGGGAAGGAGAAAAAAAACATTTCTTACATTGTTACTGGACTTGGGCTATACAAGTACGATTATGTAAAATCTGTGTCTGGGTGGCTGTTTGTCCTTTCCTGCAGAGTATTCTGTGCTCGCTGAGTGGGAGGGTCACCCTGTGTGAGACTAATAAGGACAGAGCTGCATCCCCCTCTACCACTCTTTGGAGACTCACTCCAGCAACTCCTCGGCGCTACAGCAGCTCTCTACAGGCATTTTCAGTGCTTCTGGGGGACATACTAAAATAAAAATTAAAGGTAAGCAACTCATTATTTGTAGTCAATTGTCTAACATCTCAGATGCACACACAGAGCACCATATTCCTGGCTTGTTTTGTGGTGGGTTTTGTTGTTTGTGGTTTTTTTCCCTCTCCAAAATTGCCATTTAAAGTTCATCACTGATTTTGCCAATATTAACTGTCCTCTATAAACATAATGTACACAGTAAGGTTTTAATGTACTGTAATCAGTCTGTGTTATAGGATTCTGCTCATGATTGTGTAAATACACTGTATATGTTTGTGGGTGACTATAGGTATACGCTAAGATATGCTAATGAAAACAGTCCTAAACTTGCAGTAATTTACAAAACCGATTAAACTGTTGCAAATTGCCACAATGCTGAGCATGCTTACTAACTGTATGCATACATTTGCATTTAAAAATCTACCTGTTAGTGTGTATCATTCTAACTGGCGTACCGCGCGGCCTCCATCCAGTTAGCTGGAACACACTGGTGCGCAGCGGCAGGGGTGGGAAGCGCAGGAAACGCTCTCCGGGACGGGGGAACCCGCGCGGTGCGGCAGCTCCGGGGCAGCTCCCGGGGAGGTCGAGC